GTCACCTAGTCTGAGGGACCAAGTGAAGAAAGGTTACCTGCACACCAAGGATACCTCATAATTGGTCCAAAGCTTGTTTTCGTGGTCACCTGATAAACACAAAGGCAAAGATTTTGCAGCCACCCAGGGCCCCTTCATCAGGCACTTGCCTGACGAAGGGGCCCTGTATGGCTCTGAAAGGCTGCCTTTGTGTTTATCATGTGACCACGAATTAAAGCTTTGGATCCATTTTCAAGAATCCTTTGTGTGGTGGTAACATTTCTTCACTTGGATTGTCTGCGGTTCCCATCCTGTGGTCACTACAGCTCCCAGCAATACTATATAGCCATTTTCAGGAACGTGTGCATTGGGAATACTGCGTTTTGGTCCTGTTTCTGGTCTGAGGGACCTCTCCTGCGAGTGGATAGCAGAGCTGAAGCCATCTTGCATTGCCTGCTTACGTTTTGGTCACAGTGAGTCAACGATCTGTGTGCAATCAGTTGTCATTTTCTGCAGCACTTTGTATCATAAGTTGCTCCTACTAGAAATCCAGTGCTGTCCTGTGCACTCTGCAGTCTGATCTCCAACAATGTTATCAGGAAGGGTTTTAGAATAAAAGAACTCCTATGTTATGGAAAAGAGAAGGGGGTGGTGGGTTAGTAGTTCTCTTCTATGGTGACAGCTCTGCTCTTCTAAAGATATGGTACAGCAACCGAATGTGGTCACCTTAGGGCAGAAAGACTTACTGTGATCGGCAGCTTCAATGTAAAATCGGAAGGCTTGGAATGAGGAAGGGAGCTGGGTAAAAGTCAGGATTTGCATATTCTGTTGGTTTTCTGCTTAAAATAAATGGAAAAAAAAAAAAAAAAAAGGTATGTAGTCATGGTGAAAATCCAGCCATACAGTCCCTTCACTGTGCTCTTTCCAATGTCAGTGCCTTATTATTGATGTGTTCAGAAATATTAAAGTTAATCTGTACTGAGAGCATATGTATGCTGCCATTTCCAACCTCCATTGAAAATGTTTGCTGCTTAGATGTCCACTGATCGGTGGCTTTTAATATTTTTAGTCACTAAACCAAAACAAGCGTGCAGACCAGAAATGCTGATTTGCAAATTTTTTTTGAGGTCAGGCAGTACTGCAGCCAGGCATTCTGCATTTTCCTAATTGGATTAGCAACAGTAGTCTTATAAGGAGGAGTTATTAAAATTATTTCACATAATTTATTATGGAATACATAAATTCATAGTGTTGATAACACTGTTCAACAAATTTTTATTTTTTGCCAGTTTTGGAAACAAAAGGATCCATTTCTTAATGAATTTCACATTCTGAGTTCAAATATAACAATGAAATTTGTCAATTGGCTCTAGTTTTTCTGTAAACGGAAAGTTTTCTACTATAGGCGTAATGACTACATAATGCACAATAATTATATAGATAGATGTCTTTCCACAAATATAAAGCAAGTGATATTGACTACATAACAAAGCCTAAATGGCATAATATATTGCATAGGATTACCAGAAAAATTATAGCCATAAGCTAAGTTGAATCATTTTAATACTTAGGATTCTCACTAGTTTTGTCTTCAGTTTGTGTCGGTTTTGCTTCTCTTGGCTTTTCTCTTGTATTCGAGGAAAGGGCTATCTCTTACAACTGCACGTGACTACACGCTTCAGGTTCTTCCTCACTTGACTCAACCACGAAGGATTCTGGTGCTTTAGGAATTGGTAGCCCCTCTCCATGAGGAAACTGGACGTATTGCCGATGGAATATTTGGATAGTGCACAGATAACTTTTTTTCTTCTTATTTAGCCCTTTTGTTGGAGGCACCATACAAAAGTAACAATTACTAACATGATCTGTTGGCTCTCTCCAAATCATTGGCACAGCGAAAGGCATAGATGCCTTTTTTCCATTCAACCATTGCTCCAGTGCCGTCCCACAAGAATTGCAGCATATATGTGGTGCCCAGCTCTTGTCCTGGTCTCCTATCTTGCAGCCAAAATACAAGTTGTAGGCTTTCTTAATCATTCCTGTTATCCTCCTTTTTTGTGAGATAAAAGTTATTTCACCGCAGATATAGCAGAAATTATCTGCTTTATTCACACAAGTTCGAGGCATTACTGAGTAGCCTATATAAGCATAAAACGAAATGTAAAGACGCTGTCGAACTACAATCAGCTACAGATACTGCAGCTTTTATGCAGTGAATGATGCAATTAAAGGCTAATATTGCATCATCTCGGTATACATAAATTTTCTATTGGTCACCAGTATCAATTGCACAATATGCAGCTGAAGTTGCATCATAATTTTGAATGGCTTACGTCATTAGATGGGTGAATAGATCATGGAAACTAGAGCCAATCAACATTTTTTAGGGTCATTTTCGTTTTCAGCACCCCAAAATTATGTAAGATTAGCTAATTTTATGCCCAAAACTTTTTACCTGTTGAACAGTGTAAACCACATTATTTTGAATAAAAAAAGAGAAACTACTTGCTATGAAACTGCTACTCCCAGCGTAGGTTAGAGCAGTGTTTCTCAACCTTTTTTCAGTCAAGGTACCCTTTAAAATTATAGACAGTCCCGAGGCACCTTTTACAATTATGGACAGTCTTGAGGCACCCTATTCTAAAAATGGGGTGCCTCAAAACTGTCCATTTTAAAAGAGCACCTCATTCTAAAATGTGGAAAACTATTGTAATAGTTTTATATAACGCAGCAACTTCCACACATGTAGGACACCCAACATTAGAAGTGATTTATTCTTCCAAGGAAATACACTTTTGCACACTGGTTCTGACCAATGTTTCCCCTCTCCCTCAGTTTTTATACATTACTGAGCTAATGTGACCCCAGCACTGATGGAGAGGGGCAGGGGAGGGTCAAACTAGGATTCTGTGCAGGCAGCTGACATCCTCTTATCAACTCATAATGTCATTGGTTGTCAGGATGCAGGCGGTAGAAGGTAGTAATGGTGTACAATGAAAACCCGTGGCTTGTTCCAGCCGCTGGCTTGTATACAAGTTTTGGGCAATTTTTAGACATTTTGCCAAGGCACCCCTGAAGAAACCTCTGCCCCCCCCCAGGGTGCCTGGGCACCCCCTGGGTTAGATCATATTTTGTTTCTGGCTACCAACCATTACTGCATAGACTTTTTTAAATCACCAGTAGTTACATTATACAGTTAAGAGCGGGGCTTATTTTCTCAGAGAATAGGTGCAGGAACTCTCCTCTTCCGAATCACCTTTTGTCTCTGCCCCCTACCAACCTCCAAGCACTGTCCCTTGGATCCACCATCAATACTGCCCCTTTTTGAGAATACAGAAACAAGTATCAATTTGTATGGAATTTGTTATTGACAACAAGAAAAGCAGTAAAAATCGATCCCCTGTAGCCAGCAACAATAGACTCCCCCTAGCAGCAATAGAAACAATAGATCTTCCCACAACAATGGACTACCCCAGCAACAATGGACCCCAAAAACAAAATACCACCCCTTCAATAATAGAGCTCCAGCAGCAGTAGCAATAGACATCTCCCTTAACAGTAGATTCCCCAGCAACAATACATCCCCTAGCAGTCAGCATCAATAGACCTTCCAGCGCCCCTTGCCATTACATGCATTCATTGCTGGAGGTGCCAGAACTTTTTTTTTTTTTTTTTGCAGAGGATGGTGATCTCTCAAAGACCCCATGCAGCTGTGTATGAGCTACAGATACAGAGTAGGGGTAGCTCCTCTGACTAAGCCAGTTGTAGTTTGTTGTGAACATTGCTGAACAGCAGAAACTCAAATTAGTTCACAATGTGGTATTAAAGCTTTAAGGTTCTCCCTTGACGGCACCACGTGCTGGCTGCACGTGGTAAATAGGAAATATGTACCTGACCATTTGGATAAAGGAAGAAAATACCATGGTATTATGCCCACATCCCACCAATATATATAACCTGAAACATTTTGTAGCAAAGGGACTGTAGGAGAGCATACAGGTAGTGGGTGAATCCAACAAAAGAGAAAATATACCATAAATTGTCAAATCTATTGTACAAAATTTAAAAAGGACATAGTACTGACTGCCCATGTAATATACCCAAATTTATTTCACATCTGTACTACAAAGAACATTCCTGTTCCATATAAGAAGCTTGATACGTTTCAAAAAACCCCTTCAGGAGTAACCCCCATGATAGATGCATGGTGTACATAAAATTATACAAAAACTACCACTATAATCTTGTAACGTATGATTTTGTGTCCCACTACTACTTGATGACCATGGACACATAGACACCAGTTGATGCACCTACTTTCTACAAGGGCATACCGCACTCATATGGGTGATATTTTATGGTATTTGCTGGTGCCACATGTGTGAATTTGTGTGATCCTTTTATATGCTTCCTGTTCATGTATGCGGACTCGCTGGAATAAGGTCTTAACTGACCCATGTTCTTGGACATCATATGTTCAGATGTTCTCCTGAAGAAGAAAGGGAGCGTTTTTTAAACGCATCAAGCTTCTTATATGGACCTCCTTTGTAAAAACAGGAATGGTGTCTTTAGTACAGATGTGAATTATACCTAGGTATATTGCATGGGTATGGTCACTACTATGTCCTTTTTTAAACTTTGTACAATAAACTTGGCTTTTTATGGTGTATCTTTTTCTTTTGTTGGCTTTGCTCACTACCTGTATGCCCTCCTACAGTTCCTTTGCTACAAAATGTTTAGTGTTATTTACCTGACCAAAAAGAGATTAATAGCCAAGGATATAGTTTGAAAATATACATGTAAAACATTACACATTCTCTTTCATTTTTTTTCTTCTTTTCATGTATGCCTTTGGAATATTAGTTACTCTTTGATGAATTAAAGTAAAAATTAACTGCCTGTATGGTTGTCTTTATCGTTGAGGCTTCGTGTTCTTATATGGTCTCCTGTCATTTTAGGTGAAATCTGTAAAAACGGGCTCCGTCTTTTGGACGATATGCTGCTGTTTGTCTTATTTTTACATGGTAAGTTCATGTCAGAAACTTTTTCTGTGTTCTACAATGTCCACAATCCAGCATCACTCTTTTGCTTTCTAACATCTTTAATGTTGTTTTATGCAAAATGCTTAGAGCTTTGTCTAGAATGTTGGCCAGGGCTGTCTAGCACCATTTCCATTCATGGTAGTGGTGCACCGAAATGAAAATTCTGGTGCAAACACTGAAAAAAACGAAAATTCAAAATGCACTTGGCCGAAAACCAAAACCGAAATGCGCAGTTTTTAAAAATAAATATATATTTTTTTTTGAAAAAAATACTTTGATTTAAAACAAAAAATATATACCCCAATTTTTTTGTAAAATATGAAAGAGGATGTTACAGCGAGTAAATAGACACCCAACATGTCACACTTTAAAAGTTGTGCACACTCGTGGAATGGCGTGAAACTGTGGTATTTAAAAATCTCCATGGGTGATGCTTTAAAACTTTCTACAGGTTAGCAGTGTAATGTTACAGAGGAGGTCTAGTGCAAGAATTATTGCTCTTGCTCCAACGTTCGTGGCGATACCTCATGTGTGGTTTGAACACCATTTAGATATGTGAGGCTGACCTACGTATGCGTCCACCACTATGTGCGAGGACGGGGGCAATTTAAACGTTTTATAAAAAATTTATTTAATGGGGTTTTGTGTGTTTTTTGGGGGTTTTTTTGGTTTTTATTTTTGTTTTTTGTGTTTTTCCTTTTAAAAAAATTTTAATCACTTTTATTCTTATCACAAGAAATGCATGCATCCCTTATGATAGAAATAATTAGTGGCAGGTCCTCTTTATGGATAGAGATGGGGTCAATAGGACCCCATATCTCTCCTCTGCAATGTAAAGCATTGGATCAAAAAAAAAAAGCATTGATCTAGTGCTTTAAGAAATAAAATAATATGGCCGGAACGGGAAGTGACATCACTCCGGTCCGCCAAGGGCATAGAGATGTGTGGCAGCCATCTTTCCTTCACTCATCTCTATGCCCAGCTCCGGGATCGATGGTTTCTCAGGTAAGACTGAACTACCTAGCGGCTGCGAGGGGCCGGGGTTTTTTCGGCACCTGTATTGGTGCTTTTTTTCATTACGACTGAAAGGGGTGTTTTTGGCCGAAGCGTTTCGGCCACCAAAATTTCGGGGCATCCCTAGTTCATAGCATACGTATGCAGTTTTTTAGGTTTTGATCCAGTCAAAAAAAGTAGTGTTTAGGCTCTGAGATGCACAGCAACAATGAACTGTGGCCATGAACAATAGAGGACAGTCTGACATGCAAGCATGATCCCAATCCTTTGGGGCATTTTCGCTAGATTTCCTATGCCTGAGGTTATATTCACATTTCTTTACCATAACACAAAATTTCGTTACCTTACCAAACTGTGGCGCATTGCAGTGCCATTCATTTTGAATGTCGCCAAAGCATCTTACAAGCACACCTCAACATATGCTTTTCAGTGCACCTCCAAACACAGACCTGATCCAACTGGGCGTTGTGATATGTTAAGTTGAAAAAAAATAAACCAATGCACTACTTTAAGAGCCTAGAATTTGGTGCAAATAAATGGGCTGCCTTATTTCAAGACACATTGATGCGCTGCAAAGCATCAAATCTTAACACGAATGGCTGCCTTAGCTGACCATTCATGTTTGATTAGTGAAGTCTGTGTACTGCAAACACCTAGTATTTGTAAAGCAATTGCTATCAAAAATGGTTTAGCTTCTTCAAAGTGGAAAAAGAATAGCGTTTTCCTCCCCTACCTTGTCTTCTCCGATGCCGTTACGGCTTTGAACTTTTGACTAGTGCCGATGATATCCGTGTAAGATACTTCTCAGATCATTCACAATTCAGGGCTAGGTGTATCTGACCTGCAGTTGTTCTGCAGAAAACCTAACCTGTTCAAAGAAAACCTAAGCCCATCGACACAAGCTCTTAGGGTGTTTTAAACCATTCTATAGACTTCAGATTCCCACTTAACTGTTTTCATTCATAGGCCAGGTAAAGGGATTGAATTATAATGTAACTGCAATTTTATTGTTTTGATGTTGTTTTCTTTGCTTCCTATCTTCTAGGTGTCTGCCTGGGGTGGCTATGTGTTTATTATCAATCTTATTCCACTTCATGTGTTTGTGTTGCTTTTGATGCAACGTTACAGCAAGAGAGTCTACATAGGTAAGCAGCTACGAGTGAAAACAAAGATTTACCACATTTTTTTTTTTTTTTTTCCCCCTTGCAAAAAAAATCCCACTTGAAGCTGAATAGCAGAAATGTTCTTTCTGTCAGTTACCTTTACAAAATGCCATTGCCGGAACATGTTTTGTTGCAGTCAACCAGATAAAAAAGTATTTATATTACTTTACTGTGCTGTTGTGCTTCAATGAACGATTCAGTGAAATCCATTACCCATTCATTAAATTTCCACAGTGACTCTACACCATGTCAGTAACTTTGACTAACATGCCAAGTCTTTCCATATACCAGCTCCCAATGACTATACCTGTCAGTTAGCAGTATGCCAGACATTGGGATAGATTTGCTCAAACCTGAGCGTGTAGAATCTGGTGCAGCTCTGCACAGAAACCAATCAGCTTCCAGATTTTATTGTCAAAGCCTAATTGAACAAGCTGAAGTTAGATGCTGATTGGCTACCATGAACAGCTGCACCAGATTTTGAACTCTCCAGTTTTGGTTAGTCAACCCCATTGTGTTATGTAGCAGTGTGCCCCTAAACTCTTCATGTTTGCCAATACGCTGTCTTGGTGTGGAACCTCATTTCTGTTGCTTAAGAAGATCATCTCCTGTACATTTAAAGTCAGGGGTGTTTAACCCGCGGGCCGCATGCAGCCTGGGCCCTTCTGGAAGGACACCCCCTCCCACATAGACTACATTCATATTGGTGATTAGCACCGGTGCGGAATTAAGCTGCAGTTCTACCTGTGGCTCTCAGCAGGTAGGTACTGCTGACAATCCCGTTCACTATGACAGTTTGCCAGCAGCCTCACCTATTCGCAACTCTCTACACAGCCAGCGATTACCTGCGGTGATCACTGCTGTATGCACTTTGTGTCCCATAGCGGTCACCACAGGTAATCGCTGGCTGCGCAGAGAGCTGCGAATAGGCAAACTAGCCCGGGGTCCGCTCCTACAGCAGCAGCTCATCAGCTATCCTTATTGTTAATGCATTATATGTGCAGCCCAAGACAATTTCTCTTCTTCCAAAGTGTCCCAGGAAGTTCAAAAGGTTTGACACCCCTGTGTAAAATGATTCTGATCTGTGTAAATTAATTTTATGATACATCTTGTACTTGGTTTGCTGCAAGCATGTTATTCAGATTCCCTGCCAAAAAGGGCATACTTGGCTTGATTGCTTGGTAGCAGAGTTTTTGTGCCAGGTTACAATCTCTTTTTTACAATTTTTTTTTTCCTTTAAATTCTCAACCCTAATACATTTTCTGAATAAATGTTTCAGGCCAGGTTAGGTCTTTTTAAGGTATGACAGCCAAAGTAATGTCCTCGCAAATACCTGTTATTCCATCTGACAGAATAGAATGCTTACTAACATTATGAATGTCATTATGTACTCTTCTCTTGCCTTATGCCAACAGTGTGAAATAATGTTGCTCCTAGCTAGTGCAATTATAGTGGAACTGAAATATAGGTTGTGGCTCAAGTTGGCTTTTAAACAGTATGGGGTGGATTTTAGGTTGGGGATTAGCACAATAGAAGAGATTAAAGTGACAATTGTTTTTCAGTCAGAGTTTTAATTCTTTAGAATGTAGATATTAGGATACAGTGATGAAAAGAGAAGTATGGATTTTAGGGAAAAAAAAAAACACATTATACTCACCTAGCTGGATGCAGCATCAATCCGAATCTGCATCTGTCCCTGCTGGCTCTGCACAGAGAACTAAGCGATCAAACACAGCAGTCGCTCAATTCTCCCCCTCCACTCTGTGCAGAGAGCCAGGGCTCTGTGTGTGTGAATGGACACAAGCTGCTTGCTGTGGAGGCACCCAACAGACAGGAGTAGCCAGGAGAGCATGTGGGGGACCAGAGAGGAGGAGGATCTGGGCTTCTCTGTGCAAAACCACTGCACACAGTATAGACATGATTATTATTTTACAACAAATTAACCATTAGAATTGCTTTAAATAGAAGCTGTCTGACAAAGTGAAGTACATGAAGGCCTAGTTCACACTGGCATTGAAAGCAGGCATTTGTGAGGGGCATTGTTAACGCTATGCAAACACCTATTGACCTGATACTATGGAGAGCACAGTGCTGTTCACATTATCCGAATATGAAGCGTTAGAGTCACAAAATTGAAGCCTTGTGTTGAGTCTGAAGTCTGAGTTTGAAGCCTTTCAACCCTTCCCATTCAAGTCCATGGTAATGCGCCACAAACGCACTGGCAGGCACGTTAATAACATTACAGTTTATTATAGAAGTTTGTGGTGCAGTTTTAAGGCATGTAAAACGCTTAGAAAACGTGTCAAAACTGTGCATAAGGTGTTTGGGGCTTGTAAAATGCTTGTCCAGTGCCCATACTAATGCTATAGGAGTGTTTTTGTTAAGAGTTAGAAATTTAGTCAAGTGAGAAAAAGCCGTGAAAGATCTCAAAAAGCAACACATCATGCTGTGATCTAAAGAAATTCAAGAACAGATGAGCAACAAAGTAATTGACATGTATCAGTCTGGAAAGGGTTGCAAAGCCATAAGGCTTTGGGACTCCAGCAAACCACAAGGCATTATCCAAAAATGGAGAAAACTTGGAACAGTGGTGATCCTTCCCAGGAGTGGCTGGCCACCAAAACTACCCCAAGAGTACAATGACGACTCATCCAGGAGGTCATAAAAGAACCCAGAACAACATCTTGCCTCAGTTAAGGTCAGTGTTCATGATTCAGCAATAAGAAAGAGACTGAGAAAAAATGGCATCCATGGGAAATTTCCAAGGCGAAAGCCACTGCTGACCAAAAAGAACACAAAGGCTTGTCTCACATTTGGCAGGAAAAAAAGCAAAGACTTTTGAGCAAATATTCTGTGGACTGATGAGACAAAAATTGAACTTTTTTGGAAGGTGTGCTTCACATTACATCTGGCGTAAAAACTGATACAACATTTCATAAAAAGACATGGTGGTGGTAGTGTAATGGTCTGGTCTGCTTTGCAGCTTCAGGACCTGGGCGATATGCCGTAATTGATGGAACAATGAATTCTGTGCTCTATCAGAAAATCCTGAAAGAGAATGTCCGCCCATCAGTTCCTGACCTCAAGCTCATGCTCACTTGGGTTATGCAGCAGAGGGGGTTCAGGGGACAATTACTTTTTCACATAAGGCCAGGCAAGCTTGGACAGCTTTTTTTCCCTTAAATTAAATTCTCATTTAAAAACTGCATTTACTTGCATTATCTTTGTGTGGTATTAACATTTTTTGGATCTGAATCATTTAAGTGTGACAAACATACAAAAAATAAAAAAAGCAGCAAGGGTGCAAATACTTACAGCACTGTAACTGCACTCCTGTGATCCATAGGAGAAGTACATCTAAAATAGCTTTGGCTATACTTCTCCTTTAAAGCAGATGCAGATTTGTAATTGTACAAGCAGTGTGCAGTTGGCGGATAGTATTCGCTCTTTTCATCTTTGCTGCAGTTATCAGAACTTCAACGACCTAGCATTTCATTGCTTTCTAAATGTGGTACTTTCACATTTCATCATGTTGTTGTATTAGGTTCTTTGGAAATGGTTGGTTCTCGTCAGCTGTAGATTGGAGAGATATTGGTATTGTGTTAGGTGAAATAAGGACCTCTATATGGCAAGTTTAGAATTTAGTTTATCTCCTGCTCGTTTTTTTTCTCTTTAAACATATAAGTCACGTTGACATAGCTGACCTATAAGATTAGACCACTCTACGGATGTGATTGGTTTTATATTTTTCCAACAGTTTACCACAGCCTTCTCTCTGAAAAAATTCTGTGATTATTAAAGTAAAAATGACTATAGAAATACATCATCATGCTTGCGACTTTGTGCTTGCATACTTGGCTGCTCATGCAGGTTTGCTGTTTTGTTTTTTTTTTTTGTTTGTTTGTTTTTTTTTTTTACAGCTGTGGTTTTTGAAAAGGTAAACGATTCAGAAATGAATTTAGAAAATTCCTGCTAGTGACATTACTGCTAGATTCTGAACTTCACAAAATGCTTCCTGTGTGAATAGGTAGAATCTACATGGGGTTGCTTCTCTCTAGCATAAAAAAGGCTGCTGTAAGGGACACATTGCTGTTATGAACTAGAAGATGTTTTATAAAATCTGATCGCTCTACAACTTTGTAATAATTCTCTCACAGGCACAATAACATGCATGAAGGCAGGCTACCCGTTCATGTTTGTCTTAGTCTTTTCACAAAGAGAACAAATGAGGGCTTGTGATCATAATTCAATAGTATACATCTCTTTTAATCCTGACGTGCAATGCCATCAGCAACCTCAGCCATTTGCCACTTACCAACAGCAATCAATAGGGCACTTGTCTGACACCTATATATATTACCTCTCTAGTTGAGAAGCATTTGTCCTTCTAACACAACCTTTCACTCTCCATTGTTTGGCATCTTTGATAAATCGAACAGTAGTGTGCAACAGATTAACTTTGCGTATGAATTGTATTAAAGGACAAGTTCACCTTTCGTAACACGCTACGTTTTACACCCATATTCAGGGTGTAGCATGTTACTGTAGCACCCCCCCAAATCCCCTTTTGTGACCGCAAGTAGGGGATCTTCTCCCTCTGCTCGTTGTCACAATTTTTAAAAAAGTTGTGGCTGTCTGGGGCTCACGTCATTCATTCACAGAGTTATGTGAAAACTGCAAGTACGGACAGCCTTTGCAGCTGTTAGCTTCTCAATGAACTACAATGGCTCTGTTGAGCATTCTGGTAGTTCATTGATTCTTCCTGCCAGTGTGAAACTACTTGCCCCTTTGAGGTATGGACAGATTGCTTACACTGACAGTCTGCAGGAGTCCTGCGTGGCACCCACGATCTGCTGATCCAGGTGCCATGCTTTCCAGACTCCTACAAACAAATGGTAAAGGCACATTTTTTTTTTTTTTACCTGTGAAAAACTGTGAATTTATGTATTTAAAGTTAACTTATCCTTTAAGCCCCCATTCAC